TATTTTCTACTTTTTCTTATTTTCTTTATTACTTTCATTTTTAATTTAATTTTCAAGCATTTTCAAATATTTTGAGATCCAACTTTTGAGGTCCATTTGCTTGTAGTTTTTTTTATCTACTCTAATTTTATCAACTATTTATTTTATGCTTTGATGCCTCTTGGGTATTTTCCTTTTTAGTTTCCACTTTAAATAATTTTAAATTCTTATTTTATTTTGGTTTTTGTTCAATTTGTGAGTGTCTTGACATGGTCTCTTGTTGATTTCTTGGTTGAACATATTTTTAACATCTCAAGTCCTTGGTTGATAGAACCTTCTTTGGTTCTAAGATGTTAATTGATTATTCATTTAATAATTTATGGCTTTTTGCATCAGAGATAGGTTATCCATTGGTGATCATGTTTTGAGTTCTTTGAGTTGTTGATAGATGATCCCTATATGATTGCTTGAGTCCTCATTTCATCTCCTTTAATCTCTTTCTCTTCTTATTTTTATTTTGTTTGACTATTGTGTTGCATTGTTTTATGAGACTAACTTTGTGTTAGTTCTCTAACATGTTTGACATATAAGTTGTTATTGACCGAACTCAGATAAGTGTAAGTTCTACATAGGTCCATTTACGATTGCTTAATATTGCGCTAAATTGTCCCGACTCAATTAAATTCTCATTAACACTAACATTGATATATTAATTGTGCTAACATCTAACATTTATTGTATGCTCTTTATATTTATGTCATTTACACTTTTATGTAAATTACATTCATGCCACTCTTACATTCTTACCTTTTATTTTTGCTCTTTACTTTATGCTTTATTGCTTTCTTCTTTCAAAAGAACAAAAACATTATAAAATGGCTAAAATCCTAAAAAAATTCTAATTTGATCTCTTGGACTTTGTGTTACTATCCCTTGCTTGAGGAGTATTTTGGATCTTGGACATTAGGATATAGTATTTCCCTTTGCTTGTAGTGGTATCTAAGATCTTGTGATCCATCTGAGACATAGTGCTTCATCGAAGAATTTTTTATCTTCAACTCAAGACTTGGAGGATCTTTATGGGTTCGTGACCTTGATTGACCATCTGGTTTTTCTTTGATATTCATATGTGCTTGTTGTTTATTCATCTTATGGCTCAATCCAAAGGAAAGGGAATGCTTGTTTTGACCAATGCCAAATGCTTGCCCCTTCTTGTGGTTAGTACACTTGCACAAACAAAGGTTTTCTCTTGGACTACCTTACAATGAGACCATTTACTTTATACTTTAGGATAGTCTCTTCATCTCTTTCCCACATCTTAAATTTTCAAAGCTTCTCCCTATTTCAAAAACTTATTATTTTCAAACTTCGCATCTTTTTCTTAATAAACCTTGACTTTGTTAAGTGATCCAAAAAATAATTTTCTTAATAAATGCTAAAACACTTAAGCATACTTAAACTCTTTTCAAAACCTCTAAAAACGACAAACCTCATCAAATTTCTTTTTGTGCCTTTATGCACTTTTCTGTAAAATCCTTTTTTTTCAAAAGATTGGATACTAGTATATTCTTGTAGTGATGTAAACCATTATACTTCTACAAGATGATGGGAAATGATTGACATTTTCCACTTGAATATTGAGATGTACTTGTGATAAAGTCTAAGTAAAATTTCTCCATGTCAAGATGATGCAAATGTTCATTTCCTCATACTTGTGGGTAGTAAGTTGAGTTTTCCACTCGAATACGACAAAATGTCTTTTCATTTAAAATCAATCAACAAACAACATAGCTTTTTTATAAACACATATTTGCAAGTAGTTCCCGTTGAGTACAACAGATGTGAGAGGTGTTAATATCTTCCCCTTGCATAACCAACTCCCGTATCCAGATCTCTCTTTTTGTTTTACTCTTTTTGTGGGTTTTGTTTAATCTTTTCCCTTTTTCCTTTGGAAACAAAAAATTTCGGTGACGACTCTTACTTTTTGAGTTAATTTAATCAATAGCTTAATATCAATAATTTTTCCTACCGCGACACAATTCAAATGGTGAGCACTAGAAGGTCATCATTAGAATTTTCAAATATATTATGAAAACCAAAAAAATATTGGTCTCCACTATGATAGATTTTCTGTCATATTAGAATGATATAGCAATACGAATTAGATATCGAGTGTTTATTATTCTAAATCTATATTTTGGGAGATATTTACACTATCAGGGGTGTAATTTCTTAGAAGAGTAAGAAATAAATGTGGACCACTCTCTTAACCATTGAGTCAGAGTTCAATGTTCTTGATTCCACTGGTGAAGAAGCTAAATGGTTGAGGGACCTTCTGTTGGAAGTTTCATGGGCTAAAGACAATGTTTCAAAGATGTTGATACATTGTAGTAGTCAAACCATTTTAACTAAAGCATACAAAAAGTGCATAGCAAAAAGTCTATACTAGTAGGACTTAGACATTGTTTCTTGAGAAATTTGATTAAGGATGTAATCATTCACATATATACGATCGAGCTATAATTTTCTTGATCCATTTACTAAGCCACTGGCCAAAGACTTAGTAAAAACAACCTCGAGAGGCATGGGGTTGAAACTCCTTGAGTAAGAGTTCTGACAGCGACGACAATCCAATCTTACGTTAATAGAATATTAACCTCAAGATTCAATAGGTAACAACAAGTTGTTGATTTGGATGTTTGTCGACCATTTCATGATAATGTTGATCTTTAAAATGAGGGTTGTGTTTTCACTTAAACTCTTAATGAATTTCAATACCGAGGGCATGTGTCTCATGGAAAAGGATACAATATGAACTTCACCTATGTGAATTTCAAGATAGTGTCGTCTCAAAGTGAGAGTTGGAGTTTCTTTCATAAAAAATTCACGAAAACAAGAAAAGAAAATGACCATAAATAGTGTTAGGAAAGAGATGTATGCAAAGAACCACTAAAGAGTGTGTGTGTGTGTGAGATAATGACGGTTTAATCACAAGGGATAACTGTTTAAAGCATTGCTACCTAACATTTCGATTAGACTTTGCGTTATACTGGCTAAGGTTAAGTTTAAATCACAAGATACTTAACTGTATTAACATTCTTTGTTTCTCCTTTTCTAGAATTGGTCTTGTCATTATTAGAACAAGTGCAAGATGTTGTAAATTATTAACAATTAATAATATTGAGCGTGTTCCAAAATGACAAGAAAATATGCAAGTGAAGATTAATTTTGAATTCAGAAATAAGCAACACTTTTGAAGTGTTGCAATAGGTTTGAATTCATAAAATAGGCAACACTTCGTGAAGTGTTGCAGAATATTAGAGTTTGGCCTAACACTACCTTACAAAACCGGTTGGTAAGGTGAGAGGTGTCACTCTATATAAACTATTTCAATACTCTATCTCCAACCAATGTGGGACTTTAAGATCTTCCTAATACAGAATGAAAGTATTCAACTCTTGAAGAATGTTGTTGTAGAAGAAACAATGTAACTTTTGATAAAAGTACGTAATTTTTGGTAAAAGCTTGTAACTCTCGGTAAAAGGAAGTTGTTTCACCAAGGGTCGCAACCTTATGAAACAACACCAATATCGCCTATAAATATTTCATTCTGGATTCAGAGAAATCTTGTAAGTATATTGTATAATGTCAACCGAGACTTCTATTTCAAGCATTAAATGATAAATTGTAAAGTCGTAAACACATCCTAACACAAGAAAAAATTACATCATGAATCCAGGTATATTTTATTGTTTAACATAGAAATTAGAGCACTGTGAAAATCATAACATCAAGTTTCAACGTTAATTTTACTAACCTTTGATATTAGAGAATGATTATCAATATTATGATGTTTAGATAATGATTAATTGATATATATATATATATATATATATATATATATATATATATATATATATATATATATATATATATATATATATATATATATATATATATATATATATATATATATATATATATTAAAAAATTCAACATGGCCGATGATTTAATAATAATAATATTTCTTTAAAATCATGAGTTATATACAATTATATTATCAAGTGAACTTTTGCTTCTATTAAATTATTTCTACTACTGTGTGAGAAAGTAAAGTTAATTTGTGAATTGACAAGAATTAAGGAAAATTATTATAATATAAAATATATGCATATAAAGGGAGTGATGTTTGAAAGTTGAAGAAATGGTTTCATATTAAGATAAACATGTGATTGACCCAATCTGTTTGTGAAACTACAATTCTAATAGTTTTAAAAGGTTAAATATCTGGTTCTTAAATTTTGATAATTTCTTTTTAATTTTAACATTAATTTATTATTATAAATAATTAACATAATTACAAATATTAATAAAATCAAATTTTAAAATAAGGTCATCAAAATTTAAAAAGTAATAATAATAAAAAGATTAATCCAAAGATTAATCCACCGAATCAAGAAAAACCTACTGATTCATTGATTTAACTAGTGAATTGATCGGATCACGTCGATTTTATCAAATCAATTGATCGACCGAAACGGTTTGGATTTTAGAACACTAATAAACATAATTAAAATTTATAAAAATACTGTCATCTCTTTAAAATTTAATTTTATAAAAATGTGTTAATTAAATATAAAACTTTAATACATATGGGGAGTCTAAAGAGTGAAAAAATATTACATTTCGAATTAATGGTGCAAAATAAAAATGAAAAAAATAAAATACTAAATCAACTAACAAAAACTTAATTATTAAAAAAAGTTAATTGTGTATAAGTTTATAAAAATTAATAAATTGTTTTTATATTTAAGAATACATCATCAACATTTTTTTCTTTTTCTTTTTCTTTTTAAATTTTTTTTCCAAAAAGGATATTAAATTTATTATATTTCCCAAATTTTCTCTTTTCTTATTCTGTATGACCTATTTCTCACTTCTCGCTTATTAGACACACTATTAGTATCAACATTTATGTCTTAAGTTAGCAACATAACACAAAGTAGACTAAAACGATTGCGATGGGGAGGCGAGGACGATCACCAAAGGTGGTGTCGACGCCGTCATCAGCCATCAGCAACAAAGACGACGACATACCATCGAAAACCAACGCGAATGCAAGCAAAACACAATATGGAGGAGAAGAGCTAACAAAGGAGATTGTGGAAGAACAGGGAAGCAGCAAATCTGAAACCCTAATTTCACCAAAAGGGGCAACAGAACCTAGAAGACTATGGGTAGATGTTATAAGTGGAAATCGGAATCCTGGGAACGGGTTAAAACTGGAATTCATCGCACCAACGATTGTCAATGGTATTGCAGAGGTACGTATTGAAGAAGCAGACACTGAAATAGAGGTGAAATTCTGGGAGACGGAATTGATCATGTATGTAATGGGAGGCGAGTTAAGTATGAACATGGTCAAACAATTCATGCTAAAACAATGAAATTTCGTGAAGTTGCCTGACATGTATTACAACAACGAAGGATATTTTGTACTGAGATTTCATTCACACAAGGAGAGGGATGATGTACTCGGGAAAAGGGCCTTACACCATATGCAATATGTCGATGTTGCTAGCTGAATGGAAACCAAATTTCAATTTGAAGAATGATATGTTACGCACAGTCCCGGTATGGATTCAACTTCCTCAACTGCCACTACATCTATGGGGAGTAAAATTTTTAGGGAAGATAGCGAGTGTGTTGGGCACCCCGTTGATGACTGATGAATGCACTGCGAACAGATATCGTATCTCGTATGCTAGAGTTCTAGTTGAAATTGATGTTATACAAGAACTCATTGCTGAAATCACTATAACAAATGAGAGAGGAGAAAAGATGCAACAGAGGGTAGAATATGAATGAAGGCCTCCATGCTGCACTAAATGCCAGCGGATTGGGCATAAATGTGAGGAGAAGCAACTGAAGAACCCAACCAAGCAGTGGATCCCAAAAGATAAGAAGCGCCAAGATGATAGTGTGGCTGAAAAGGAATTGGAGACCTTGAAGACACCAACACAAAAAGTAACAGGACAAGAACATACTAAATCTGAATCAATTGTGCGAATGACGAGTAGCAAACAAACAGATACAGATGAAGGTATGGCGTGGACAGAGGTGAGGAGGAAAGACAAAGTAAAGTCAAATGGTTTTGATACTGGTTCAAGTCCAAAAAACAAGAAGCTAACGAAGAATGACGGGAACCTTTATGCAACTCTTGGGGATGATCCAGCCTCGGTGTTCCTAGACGATGTCCCATGATTGTCTCTTGGAACATCAAAGGGCTGAATAAAGCGGGAAAAGTTAGGGAGATCAGCTCTCGTCTCCAAAAACTAACCTCTGCAATATCTGTTTTAATCGAAACTAGAGTGAAGGCAAAGAATGCAACTTGTATTCGTCGAAAATTGAGATTAGAAGGCAACTATATAGATAACTACTCACACCATGATAATGGCAGAATTTGGATCCATTGGGATAAGAATAAAAGGAACATGGCACTGGTGGAAAGCACAGATTAGCTGATTCACTGTATGGTTAATGATGTGAATGGAAATTTTCTATTTTGGTTGGCAGCCGTTTATGCACATAACCTGCTGCAGCGCAGGAAAGAATTGTGGCATGATATTGAAAGGATTAATGCGCTGCAAAATGGCCCTTGGATCCTAGTAGGTGATTATAATAACGTGATGAAAACCGAAGACAGAATTGGCGGTAATGACGTTACAGAGAAAAAGTACATAGACTTTACTGAGATGATGAGAAAAACGGGATTATATGAAAAGGATAGTGGTGGAGACTACTTCACATGGTCGAATAAACAGGGGGATAATGCTATTTATTCCAGAATTGATCATGTCCTCTGCAACATTGAATGGCTGCAACAGAACAAAAATACGACATTAACGAATATGAACCCCAGTATATCAGACCATGCCATGCTTGTGTTACATGACGTTATTGAAGTTCAGCGGCCTCAAAAACAATTTCGATTTATTAACTACTGCGCAGAGTTGGATAATTTTCAGGAAATTGCCAAGAACAGTTGGGACATGCCGCTAGCAGGTAAACCTATGTTTGTTGTTTGGAAGAAATTGCAGAGGTTACAGCCCCACATTAGGAAATTGAGCAAACCGTTGGATGAGATTCACAAGGAAATTGCACGAGCTCGTGAAGATTTGAACAAGGCGCAGGATGATTTAATGACTGATAGATTGGATGCAGACAAGATTCATATAGTTAAGAGATGTTCTGTTAATCTTATTAGGTTACAGGAACTGGATGATAGTATGGTGTGGCAACGAGCTAAAATTGACTGGCTGCGGCTTAGTGACAGTAATAACAAGTATTTTCATGCCTCTATAAAGATGAGACAGCAACATAATCACATGACACAAATTCATGGAATATATGGCACCATTGTTACAGATCAGCAAGGAATGGAAAATGAAGTGATCTCATTCTACAGGAATCTTATGGGTACTAAACTGAACCACCTTGAAGGCATTGATATAGCAGCTATGAGAAATGGAACCCAATTGGACGCTGCGCAGAGGGATATGCTGACGGGGCATGTAACCGAAGACGAAATCACTACAACTCTTAAAGGCATTGGTAATGATAAGGCACCTGGTATTGATGGGTTTGGAGCGTATTTTTACAAGAAGGCCTGGAATATCATCAAACTGGATGTTATAGCAGCTGTGCAGGATTTCTTCAAGCATAAATGTTTGTACAGAGCGGCTAACTGCTCTGCTGTCACACTTGTCCCGAAGCACAAGGGCGCGAAAGAAATTAAAGACTATCGACCTATTGCGTGTTGCAGTACCCTGTACAAAATTATATCCAAGATCTTGGCCAACCGTCTCAGCAAAGTTCTAGGTACGATAATTAGTGCGAATCAAGCAGCATTTGTCAAAGGGAAGAGAATTCACAACCATATTTTACTCACGTTCGAATTGATTAAGGGATACGAAAGGAGAAATATTTCTCCCCGATGTTTAATGCAAATGGATATTCAAAAAGCGTATGATACGGTTGATTGGAATGCGCTTGAAAAGATTTTGATTGAGGTGGGCTGCCCACAACAGTTCACTAATTGGGTGATGACAATGGTTTCCACTGTTTCTTATAGATTTAACGTCAACGACCAGCTAACTGACATCATGGAAGCGAAAATGGGGCTTAGACAAGGCGACCCGATATCTCCTATGTTGTTTGTCATTATAATGGAATGTTTGAACATGTACTTATACAAGATGCAGGAGGATTGTGACTTCAATTTTCACCCTAAATGCGATAAATTGAAAATCACAAATCTATGCTTTGCGGACGACTTACTTATGTTTTCCAGGGGAGATAAGGTGTCAATTGAAATGGTGATGAATACTTATGGGAAGTTTTCGAAGGCTACAGGACTTGTAGTGAATCCGTAGAAGTGTCGAATCTACTGTGTTGGCATGGATGAATTGACTAAGCATAATATTATCAAAGCATCCGGGTTCCAAGAGGGTCGTCTGCCTTTTAAGTATCTAGGGGTTCCGGTAATAGGTAAAAAAAACTCTCTGTTCGCCATTATGCACCGTTAATAGATAAGATCGTGGGCAAGATAAAGCATTGGACTGCGCGGTTATTGACATACGCGGGGAGGCTTCAACTCATTAACTGTATTATGTTTGCGATAAATAATTATTGGCTCACTTATTTTCCTTTCCCCAAAACTGTTCTACAGAGAATAGAATCGATTTGTCGCATTTTCCTCTGGACAGGAGGGTTTGAAGGGAGCCGTAAAGCTCCAATAGCTTGGAAACAGATTTGTAGCCCTCGTAGCCATGGCGGTTTAAACGTCGTTGACATTGAAGTTTGGAATAAAACAACTATAATGAAGCTGCTTTGGAATTTAAGTGGGAAGGAAGATTCGCTTTGGGTTAAATGGGTACAAACGTACTATCTCAAAAACAAAGATCTGATGGAGATCCAGTGTAAACAGAGTGATTCCTGGATAATGAAAAGTATACTCAATCTTAGGGAGGATTTCCAAAACATGAGCAGTCAGGAAGAATTCAAGCTGGGGGGAGAATTTAGAATGAGTAAACTGTATGCAAAATTACATGATTGTGGGCAGCCGGTGGAGTGGAGGAATATGGTGTATGGTAATAATGCGAGACCGAGAGTTAATTTCATGTTGTGGCTTGCTTGCCATGGGAGATTAGCAACGAAAGATAGGTTGCATAAGTACGGTATGATTGATTATACTAAGTGTTGCTTCTGTGAGGAATGAATCTTTAAACCATCTATTTTTTGATTGTGAACGCTTAAAGAGCGTATGGACAGAGATCCTAAGATGGGCACAAATTAACCATACTCTAGGAAATTGGCATAGTGAGCTGAAGTGGCTTATTCAACATACCAAAGGTAAAGGAGTCAGAGCTGCAATCATAAAAATGACGATTTCTGAGACCATCTATGAGATATGGCATGCTAGGAATAATTGTATTTTTGGAGAAAAGCCGGAGATCACAACTATAGTAAGAAAAGTAATAGATACTTCGGTGTATAGAGGATGGAACACTAAAAAACTTCGGAAGTATATAGCTATCTTAATGATAGAGAGGGATTAGATAGATAGATAGTTTTTTGGTGTCCCCTTTTTGGTCTTAGGTTGTCTTGTTTGTAACTGAATTCAATGGGATCGCTTGTATCTATCGTCATTTTTTGAAGTAATATAGTTTTATTTATTTTCAAAAAAAAAACACACTATTAGTGTTGAGATATGAGTTCTTAGAATATTCTGGTCTCAAGATTTCAGTTTTTAATTGGTACAATTAATCTTTATATTTGTAAACAATATTTATATGTGGAGTCAATTTATATACAATTTTATTCTGTCTTTAAATAAAACTCTTGCTAATAAATAATAAAATTGATCATTTTATATTAATTAGTGACAAGACCAAATATCAAGATTTAAAAAAATAAATCACTTATAATTTAAGAATGTGAATTTCTTTTTCCTAATTTAGAATATATCTTCAAATTTGAATAAGTAGAATAGGGGACCAGGTAGGAAGGGACAGAGGCACATAGAGGCTATATATGGTGTGGCAAATGAGAGTTGAAGTAGTCATGCAGACTTGCGCAGAAACCATAAATACATGTTGTGCTACCCCCTCTTAGCTGTCCCTCCTCTCCTCTCCTCCTATACTTTTTCTAAGGTCCACGACAAAGTTCTATTATTATTATTATTATTATTATTATTAAAAGAATATTTTAACTTAATCTTAGTATTATAATTATCATTAGCGTTCCCTCTTTCAACATATTCAAATATTAGTTATATCATTTGTCGAGTAAAGAAGCTTGTAGCATAAACTGATGTTTTTAACAGAGATACAGTATCTGCGTCTTAAAAAAGTACTACCAACGATAAAAGATTTACTTACACACT